CATATCTGTTCTGAAAAGCACATGCCTAATTCCAAGAGACTCACCAGTGTAACACCACGAAGAAATGCATTTGGGCTGAGTGTATAAAGTATGTCTCACCTGTGGTTTCAGGGTAAAAGAACTGGCCGAGATAAGGTGCGTCCAAAGCAGAGGAAGTAAGATGATGTGCATGTCTTGTTTTCTTTTAAGATTGACTCTTCTGCTACCAGTGCAGACTAATGTATCTTTAACATACTGTTTTCCTGGTTTGTTTGCTGCAAGCTGGCTTCGTTGTAACAATATTGGGATTTTATCACAAATACTAAGCCAAGCAGTCTGAATGTAAACTGTAACTGAATGCAGTGCCTGGAATGCCATCTTCAACTTCAGCAAGTCTGCTATTTTCAACTTTAGCCGAGGTAGGAAGAGGCAAAATATCATTGCTGTTTTTCAGTAAACTTTTACAAATCATTTGTATTTATGTTCCTTCTGTAGTTGCAGAGCTGGTTTTGCTCCGGGAATCTGGATGAGTGTGCGGGTTGCATGACGTTTTCCCTCTGCAGCATTCAAGGCGTAGCAGATACGAAGTGTGCGGTAGAGCTCAATGAGAGCGTGGTAAAACGTTTCCTGTTCTTGACCTTATGAGGATACGTGAACATATGCTGTAGCTGGCTGGGGCTGCACAGAAATTGGAACACCCATTTTTGTGCTCTGCCTCTACAACTGGTAAAAGATGATTTATAAGTATTACCAGTCATTGGACCCTACATGACACTAATTTGAATAAAATTAGTTCTTAATTGTAAAAGAGTTTGTGGACAGTTTTAAGCAAGTTAAGGCTTTCCTGCTATTTTTACTAAAAACAAAAAAAAAAGCCCACACCCGATATAAAATCAGTAAAATTATTTAAACTGTGATATTCATAATGCCATTAGAATCAGTGCATCCCAAAATAATACGGGACATTTTAAATAAATGTGTTAGAACTGCTTTTTATGAAATAGCCTTTCCTCTAAGACAGCAACCATTAGTCTGTGATTCTGGTCAGCTCTTCCTCCTCTTAGATCTCCCTAGTCCAGGTGTTTTCCACATTGTTCCTTTTTCTAGCCATATCCGTAAGAAATAACCATAAGAAAACCTGTTCCTCTTCAACAGGTTTTTTTTGGATGAACACCTGAGAAAAGACAGTTCTTGGACTATTTATAAGGCCAGAGCTTGGAGAGAAAAATGATGGGTCTGTGCAAGATCCAGGAAGATCTGAACACCATTTAGCAGTGTCAGCTTTAGGGAACGAAACATCCGTCTGTGGTATCACACCAGGGTGCCTTGAGCTGTGTGTGTGTCGCAGGTCCAGTGCCCTGCTCTTGAGCTTTGTGTGTATGAAGCGCCACATCGCAAATTGCTCTCCTCGCACACAGTTCATGGAAGGCGTCCCTGCCCATGGCAGGGGGGTTGGAACTAGATGATCTTTAAGGTCCCTTCCAACCCAAACCATTCTATGATTCTATGATTCATCTGGGTCTCTTTATTCCTCTGTGGTTAGTCATGTTGTTGAAACAGCATTCCCAGGAGCTCTGGAAATTGCTTCCATCCAATCTCTGTCCTATTTTTAGTGCTGAACTTGGCCTTAAGAGAGCATAAGACTCAAAAGGATTTTCTTCCCTTCTAATAAACAGTAAAAAAAATTCATCATGGGCAATGCATCAGTAACGTAACGTTCTAGTATTCTGGGTCAAGTTGAGGCAAGGTTAAAGGCTTTCCTTAAATTGGTCAACATCAATTATTAATGATGAACTGTGACATTTCTCTTGAGTGTAAAAACTTCTGTGAAGTTTGTAAGATTTAGGTTTGTACTTCAGGATGAAGTGAGTATAACATGAAATATGCACAGAACCTAATTCTCAAGGACAGGTAATAAGTACTAGATCTTTCAGGGTTTAGTTCCTAAAGAGGTCTTAGTCCATCAAAAACTTGGTGGCACAAGTAGAGTCTGTAATGGCTTGACCATGTTTATCTGCTTTTATTTCCATGGCTGTAGCCTAATTTTGTTCCCATAGCTCTGGAAGTGTTTTGAAATAGTACTAAGAAGATGACAAAGTAATACACCTGAGACTAAGTCATAATTGAAACATGTTGCAGTAGTATTTTGGGAAGCTCTTAATGGATCATCTGTGAAATGCTTTGTTTTAGATAATTACTGTTTCCTTTTTCTTTTTTTCCTCCCGGTACATGTTCATCAGCTTTAAAATCCCCACTGTATTTTCACTACAACCTTAAGCCAAAAAGCAGTAAAAGGAATTTGCATGCTAAATGTTAAAAGCATCATTCTCCTGAACAAATGGTCAGTGGCCTAGCTGAAGGGAAATATAGACCTTTGATGAGGTTATGATAATTGAATAAGGTCATTAGGCCATTCCACTTGGGTCTGTGTGCTTCCATTGAACCAGCCTGGTCCTTGTCCAGCGTTTCAAGGATGCCATGTTCCTGCGTTTCCTTACGCACGGTTTGCAGCAGGGTTCTCTGTTCACACGTACCCGTGTAGGGGCTAACGTGCGGAGATGGCTCAGCACCAGCCAGGTTGTAACCGGGAGTGTCGGCGTCCGTCGGCACGGGTCAGTCACAGCAGACGTATGGTCTGCGGGCGCCATCGACCTGGAGCAGAGCAGGAGGCGCCTGGTGTTGTCCTTAAACATCTGCCGCAGGGAGAAAGAAATTATCAAATTGAGAGAGACATCTGATTAAAAAAAGGTTAAAAATGGAAGTAGAGCAGGTCTGTTGCCCCTGGAACCTAAGCATTTTCTTACAAGGGGGCAGTGAGGCCTTGGCTTGGTTCCCTAATACGATTTTAAGATGCGGCCTTCGGATCCTGACAGTTCCACCTCGCCTGTGTTTGATCCGAGCGAGTGCAGTGCTTTCGGCCCTGGAACTGGCAGAGGGCACAGGAGCCTGCTGATGACTCTGACGCTTGTTTTGGGGGGGAAAAAGTACTGTTCCCCTGCCCCGAAACCTGGGATTGCAGCGCTGCAGAAAGCCCTCGCTGCCTCAACGGCAGGGTTGTACCCCAAGAAACAAACGGCCTTGGAACAGCATTTGATTTGGTGTTTCGAATGATACATTTTTCAGTCAGGCTGCCAACAGCCTACTCAGTGGCTTTAAAATATAAGAAATCAAGCTTGGGTTTTACATTTGGTACCTGATTTAGATCTCCCAGTGGTGAAATTGCTGCTTGTGTCACCAGAGATCTGTTGTCTAAGATCCCATGTGCAAAAGCATCGCAAAGACATGGCCAGCAAAGCTGCTCCTTTAAACCGTTTCTTCATCCTGCACGGATGAAGGATATTAGGATTTTTCTTTTTTCACTTGTTTTGCTTATGTCTCAGTCTTGTATTGTGGCCTTGAAAGGAGCTTTCTCCTAACAAAGAGCTCCGTTACAGACGCTGGATTTATCCAAGCAGCTGGATCTGCTGCGGGCCATCCCTTGCAGGCTGAGGCTGAGGCCTGGGCCTGGCTCTTCCTGAATGTTTGCACAGCACACGATCCTGATCAGTGTCTCCAAGGGCTGCTTTCATGCAAGCAAATAATAATAGTGGTGGAAGAGTTTCCACATTTTAAGCTGTATTACAATTAAAAGAGCAAAACTGCCAAAATCCATATCCCTGTGGCAGAGTATAAGACTTTCTGCTTTTTTATAAAGCTGCAGGAGGTCATCCAGTCTGAATATGCTTTTCAAGTGACGTCGTTATTTTATCTGAGGTTTACTTGACATCACTGTGTGCAACAGTCGAGGGCTGGACTCTATGGATCGAGTTGTCCCTTTCAATCTTACCGTTTTAAACTTCTCTGGGGAGGGAAAACCTTATGTCTTCCAGTTTCCAGTGACACTGCCAAAGGTGTATGCCAGGCCAGACTTTTAAGGTGATTTATTTTGTGACTTTGAATAAACTTTAATTTCTCTAATTTTCTTTATCTGTAAAACAGTGATAATACGCAAATACTGTCTTTTTGCGGTCAGTGATAAAAGTAGTTAAATGTCAAGCATATGTCAATGGCACAAAGTAAATTATCCATATTAGGTTATTTACCAGACCAACGCACTAGATCGATGGGGGGAAAGTACTTACATCCTAACGTATTATTAAACCTTCTTGGCTTTGCTTCTGCTGGTATATGGGATTATTTTGAGAAAAAGAGGGGTATTATGTTGTAGCCTGCATTATCTTTTGGTGAGTCTTACTTTTTTCTCTTCTATTAACTTTGAGATTTGAAATGCAACTTACTTGAGCAATTACATGGTGTCTCATATGAAACACTGAGACTGTTGCAACCTTCGGCAAACCAGACTGTCTTGCCAAGGCAGAGCCTTTGTATGTAATATTTCCCTTCCTCCCTTTTCCAGATCAACACTTGATTGAAAATCAAAGTTGATTGTATTGCTAGTTTGAAAGTGGCCATGTTCATCTGCATTAATTCTCATGTGTTGTGGGTTTTTAGTTAATGTAGGTTATTTTTCTTAATGCATGTCAAAGATTTCCTAACTCTTGCTATGGAGTGACTTTAAGAATTACATTTTAAAAGAGAATGTGTTGAAGAGACTGTTTATATCCTAATATACTTTGTGTAGATTATAGCATGATACTTTTGAAAAGCATTTTTTGTATTTCAAAACAAAAACACCAGATAAGCCTGCTTTTGGCATGAAAATAAGTGATTTTTTTTTTCCTTTGGCTTTGGTTTTTGCTTTGATTTTGCTCCTCTAACCAGATAAGTCTATGCTTTTATCTGGTTATACATGAACACAGTTTTCCACTTTAATTCACTCAAGAACGTCAAAAGTATTGTTGGAATGAGTCTTTGAAGTTGTGTCTGCAAATTCTGTTATGCAGCCTTACTCCTGGGAATGCTGCCTCAAATGTGGTCATCTCCAGCTCTAACCTCCCGCTAGTGTTCCATTCTGCCAAGAAAACAGGCGACTCTTCTTACTTTCCTGTTTTTGTGTGTGTGTGTGTGTGTATGTTCTTCAGAAAGCCAAACTTGGGCCAGCTGGTAACAAAGTCATTACTCCAACAGAAGACAAGAACTCAAGTGTGCCATCCAACAATCTGGACAGGGTGAAGCTGACAGATTTCAACTTTCTCATGGTTCTCGGAAAGGGGAGCTTCGGGAAGGTAGGAACTCTTGATAACGATTCCACTCACGTTCTCTTTTTTTTTTTTCTTCTTGAGGAAGAATGAATGAATAATTCTTTAAGAAGCAAAATTCAGAGTCAAAAGATGTGCATTTTTGAGGGAGGATATCTTAACATGGAGTAAGGTGATTCCCTAAGGACTAACAGGCTTCAGTCATGATTGGGCAATTTTCTTGCAAAAATGAAAATTAAAAAAAGCCCTCAGACTGTTGGGCAGGATGTAAGAAACAGTTGCTGACTTTTAGATCATCACTTCTTGGCAGTTTCAAGGAAATTAAGTCTACTTTTCTGGCTTTGCTACCTAGGTCACTCTGCCAGTTCTGGAAGTCACCAACATTGGTAAGGCTGAATATTGGGGAAAAAAATCAGGAATAGTGTATATGTATTTGAAATCTGTTAGTTGAAAGAAAGGACTGCTGTGTTTCTGTCTGTTTGGACAACCACTTACATGATAAAGTGCCCTTTACTGAAAAAGTCCCCTGGGACTTAACATTTTATCAGCCCCTTGGCAATGTGCCTGCGATTAACCAGAGGGTTTTGGCACAGGCTTTGTCTGAAATGAGTGGTACAGCTCACTGCGGGTGAGTAATGATGATATTTTTGGAGTTTTGATCCAGTTAGTCTATACCAATAAAAGGAAAAGCTGGATTGCCATCTATACAAATCTTCGTGTGTGAGTCACCTTCCCTCCTTGGCAGGTGGGAAGATTTTCACCCTGTTGTTTCTCACTGTGCAGGTGATGCTGGCAGACAGGAAGGGGACAGAGGAGCTCTATGCAATCAAAATACTGAAAAAAGATGTGGTGATTCAGGACGATGATGTTGAATGTACAATGGTTGAAAAAAGAGTCCTGGCACTGCAAGATAAACCACCGTTCCTGACACAGCTTCACTCTTGTTTCCAAACAGTTGTACGTGAGCTCTCTTTCTTGCCATCCTGACGTGTTCTATACTGTATGATCATGGATTTTATCAGCTCAGTAACATGTATTACTAGGCAAACTAATTATTATAGTTTCTGCACATAGGAAATGGTGAAGAGATACCCCATGTAATCACCCCTTGTATTTTAAACGTAAAACCTAGTTTTACAGCTTTTTCTTCATGTAGTAATTCAAGCAGACCACCTTGGCAATTCATAAATGTAGTAGCATGTGCTTTCCTAAGAGCCTTAAACCCAGATTCCCAAAGGTTCCTAAATACTTGTTAAGGATCTGAGCATACTATGTGAAAACTCTTCATGACTTACCATAGCATGAGATGATTAGTCATGAATCAATGTTTGATGGGTTTAATTTCATTTTCTGGCACTCCCGGCACAGGGGAAAGCATTGGGTTTTTTTTCTTCCATCTCTGTAAATATGTGAAGTGGACGTTTTCCCATCACTTTGCAAAACGTCTCCCAGAGACGGGCTGCAGGATGGATCTGATAGTCCAGCAGCACCATACCTCTCTGTTGGGTGACATGGAAACCACGTGGTAGACAGTTGGCGCTCAGCGTGCTGCAGGTTTTTGGAGTGGCCGTGGGTACCCCCTGACACTAGTGAACTGGCTCCCGGTGTTCCCAGCAGGGTAGAGATCTCCATCCACAAGAAGTCAAGGCTCTTCTCACCTCACCTTGCAGCCAGCTTACGATGTGCCCTAGGGCTGGGTGGTTGCTTAATGGGGTGAGGAAAATTGGGGTTTAATCTAAGGAACAAACAACAGGCAGTTAGTTTGAAATAATAACTTTTTACTATTCCACAAACAAGCCACGTCATCCCGCCACCATTTCATGTCATAATGTCTGTGTTGTTAGAGGCATTTTCAGTGCCTCTGTTTAATGTCTACAAATCTCTGAGCAGAAAATGGCCTGAATGCAACAGATTTGCAGACATAATCACAAGAGAATGTTAATCTGGGAACCATTGCACTTGCTAATTCTTGCTTTCTAAACTATATTTCCTGCTTCTGCTTGTAGCATGAAGATTGTTGTAATAACATGAGAGGTCCTAGCGAGACAGGCTTCTATCTCTCTCCAATTCTTTATCATTATAAAACTTCATAAGTAACCAAAAAGCTTTGTGTCAGCAGTAAATGAAAAATCACTTTGTTAAATCTTATCTTTCTTTCGAGCAACTACATTTTAAAATTACAAATGTCTAGTGTTTTCCAGCAAAGGGGAATGGAGGACAAAAGTTGTTTTTTTTAGTATTTACAGTATATTTTGCTTGTTTGTTTTATCATGTACAAGAGCAATGGAGCTACATACAGGCCTAGATAAATCATTAATACCTTTGCCTAGTTTATTTAATGTTTTCCTAAGAAATAAGTAGTTTGTACTTGGTGCTGTGAAATATTTTTATATTCCTGCTCCTGTGAGACCCCACCTGGAATCCTGCATCCAGCTGTGGAGCCTCAGCATCAGAAGGATATAGACTGGTTGGAGCGAGTATAGAGGAGGCCCCAGAGATGCTCCGAGGGCTGGAGCCCCTCGGCTATGGGGACAGGCTCAGAGAGTTGGGGGGTTCAGCCTGGAGAAGAGAAGGCTCCGGGGAGACCTTATTGCACCTTCCAGTACCTGAAGGGGCTACAAGGAAGCTCGGGGGGACTTTTTACAAGGGCAGGGAGTGACAGGACAAGGGGTAACGGGGTTAAACTGAAAGTGGGGAGGGTTAGTTTAGATATCAGGAAGAAGTTCTTCCCGGAGAGGGTGGGGAGCACTGGGACAGGTTGCCCAGAGAAGCTGTGGATGCCCCATCCCTGGGAGTGTCCAAGGCCAGGCTGGATGAGGCTTGGAGCAACCTGGGCTATGGAAGGTGTCCCTGCCCATGGCAGGGGGTGGGACTGGATGGTCTTTAAGGTCCCTTCCAACCCAAACCAGTCTGTGATTCTATGATTTTGGAGGATTAATATTAGCTACAAAAGTGAGAAATTGTATATTAAGGAGAAAAAAAGACATAAACTGTGTGACCATAGAAAAAATGGATTCTTATTTGTTAGTCCATTTAGCTGCAGGCTTCTGTTGCCATGGATAATTCATCCAAAAATCTAAATTTTATAAATCCAATCTGTCCAGTTAAAGATTTTTGCCCATGGCTTGTCTGTTGGACCCTGCTTAGGAAATCACAGCTTTTAAATGTATGTTCATGTTCTGAAATCTTAGTTACTGGATGATTGGAGACTTTCTTTTTCAGTCAGTGCTGAAAGAGATTGAACTAGAGCATCTTAGTAATGAGTCTCTTTCCCATGAGAATATGGATCAGAACTTTTCTACAAATATTTCAGGATAATGATACTGTCCAAACTAACTAATGGAATATCAGAGGAGGCCTTTAATGTTAGGTGGTCAGAATCATCCACCCTAAATAAAAGATATTTGTAGAGCATAAGCGATGTATTTTTCCTGAAGTCACATGGAGTAGCTCAGCTTTAGTCCTCTGAAAAGCAGGGGACAGCCGTACTGCTTTTAAGTCTTATTGTCTGTAGGTCACTGGATGGGAAAATACTAAAGTGCACTCAAATATTTTATAGTCATGTTTGGTTTGAGATGCCTGGATACGGCATTTAAGAGTCTTCACTGTGCAAGAAAGATCTCTCTCCAAAATACCTTATTGCCATCTTCCTCTAGCTGAAATATGTGCCTATGAGAAACTAATTTAGTGTCATTTTCACTTGTAAAGGTTCCAGATACTTTTGTAAATCCTACGACTACTTTTCTTCTTGCCTCTTTTTAATCATAGAATATACATTTTTTAATAAGTCCCATCTTCCAAAGGAAAACTTATTAGAAATGACCTCAAAGCAAGAATTTTCAACCATATTTAATTTTTTTTACACTTATTTTTAGAGAGATTTATTTTTCAGAGCTCTATATGAATAATTATAGGAAAAATTGTAGACAAATAATTTATAAAAATGCAGCACTAAAATTGGCAAATCCAGACAGATCTCATCAGTCACTTACTCTTGCAGGTTTTACAAAACATTCCACTTCCATTTCCTGACCTATCTGTTTTGCCAGAATGTACAACCAGTCCTAATAACCCTAAAAGCTTTATAATAACATATTAGTGACATTTTTGCTGATCAATGCATATCTAATATTTTCTCTAATGTATTTATGTGCATCTTTAATACTTTGTCCTAGGACCGTCTGTATTTTGTTATGGAGTATGTGAATGGTGGTGATCTCATGTATCACATTCAGCAAGTAGGAAAATTTAAGGAGCCACAAGCAGTGTGAGTGTTCATGTTTATATATTCAAATCATGTTGTTGTCATCTTAATTTTAAACTGTAAGGGGATTAGGTTTCTTCTTCTTCCCAGGTTCGGTATGAAGTCTGAGCTGGCCTTTTTTGGGTGTGTTTTTAGAGCCCAAATGCTGAAGTTTATTTTGAAAATGTTGTTTGCACACGTAGACCAAAGGTAGCTATGCCTTTTTATTAAAAATTACAGCATGAACAAAGGCATGCAATGGCTACTTCAGAAGTGACAAGAATTTAGACAAGGCAACAGGAAATTAAAGATGTTACTTAGTATTCTGGTGTTGTTTGTAAAAGCGAATATAAGAAAAAAGAGTGAGAAGAACATTTCAGTCTGAATTAATGTTGCAGGAAAAGGCAATACAAATAGACTCAGCATTCCAATATAAATTATAGCTTATACAAGATAAATTCGATGTATAGCTTATAAGAATTTCTGTGATCCTACTTCTTATGGAAGTTTTATTTGTGAGGAGTTAATAAATCATTAAAACTTGTTTACATACATGATCCCTTTTAGGTAATTGTACATCTGGCATATCAGTAAGCAACTGATAATGATCTGTAGCATATTCAAATGTGAATAGATCCATCAGTACCATGTTAGTCATGCTTGAAACATCTCATCATCATTTATTAGTGTCTCATAAATCATTTACCAATGAAACTTTAAAATCAAGCATGACCAAATGTTTTAAGCATCCAGCTAAAATAATTTTTCATTTCAATTTAAATAATCTGGGCTTGTTTAAATGAAAGGCCTTCTAAATATAAGTATTTGGCACATGAACCAAAATTTCAACAACTCGCTAAATAAAAGCTAGATGGTGTCAGATCATCCTTGGCTCCCAGCGAACGTGACGTGTCGACACCCGCTGCAAACTGTGCAGCTTTGTGACAGCTTAGGCCTGTGGAGCATCTTCCAGCACATGTGCTCACAAACACCTCGGAGCGAGTGTTTTAGAGCTGAGCTTTCCTTGCCCTTATGCTGGCCTAAAAATTAATCTAATCCTTAAATAATCCCCTTGCATATAATTTGCAGAGTTCCACAGCAACCAGCTTCAAACATCCATCAATATTATATATCCTTTACCTACATACAGCAATTACATTTTTATGGTAATCATTTTAATTAGCTGTATTAATTAATCCATTAACAGGCTGTATAAAGGAAAACTATTTCTACAAATTATTTCGTTCCATATGGATTGCAGTGTAAATTGAGCTGCATCCTGAATTCAGCATTGTTACGTGATTAGAGATAATGACCTTTGCAGGCAGAGTCAGATCAGTGCAGTCAAACGCTGTGCTCCAGCTGCACCACTTTTTGTGGTCTAGGGGGACATTGTCGTTTGTTTTTTAAATTCTGCATTATTTTATCATCAGATACTCAAAATGTGTCTGTTAAAGTCAAATTGACGTAAGGTGTCTTTTATGTCATCTGCCTGTAATGTGGTTTTTTAATGCTTTACATTATGTACTTTATATACCGTTACACTATCATTCTTTACCATGATGCTTTTCCAAAGTATTTTCTCAGAAGGAAATGATGATGAGGCAATCAGAAATCTGTTGGGTTATTTTTCATACAGGTTCTATGCAGCTGAGATCTCAGTTGGGTTATTCTTTCTCCATAACAGAGGGATTATTTACAGGTGAGTATAACCTGTCCTAAGTAATTAACCGAACTATTTGTAAAATCCTGATCTGTTTAACTTTCCAGAATGTTTTTAAAATGTTGTATGAAAAGCAGCCACTTTCTTTTTGTTGTGTTGGTGCTGGTAAACCCAAGTCACTGCTTTACCTGAGCTTTTCTGACCTCTGTGCTCTGCCCAGCTCAGCTTGAAAACGCAGCACACCATCTTGGGCATTCCCGTGTGCTCTTCCGTTGTTTGACACGTCCAGCAGTCCCAGGGTGAATGCGCTCATGGTCGTACACATCTCTCTCTTCAGTAACTGTCCGGTTTCAGAGCTTATGGTCGTCGTTCTGTATCTGCAGGGAGGTGCCCAGCCCCGTCCGGACTCCAAACTGCATGTGCACCCCTGTCCCCTCCGCCCCCAAACAGCTACACAGATTTCTCACCTAGGCTCAGAAGGAGATAAGCTGGCCCTGATTGATCCTAAACATTAACATTAAATTACTGTGATTCTTTGTAGAGATCTGAAATTAGATAATGTGATGTTGGATTCAGAAGGACACATTAAAATTGCTGATTTTGGAATGTGCAAAGAACATATGTTAGATGGAGTAACAACCAGGACCTTCTGTGGCACTCCAGACTACATTGCACCAGAGGTAAATACTTACATTTCCAGAACCTTTAGTCTCTGAAATTAAAGTTGTCCCTACACAGATTTCACACCACCGAGTTTGGATAGCTGTAACTCTGGATACTCTGTGGATGGTACCATTTATACTTCTGCAGGTATATTGAGTAACTTTGTGAATTAATACAGTACTATCAAGAAGACTTCACTGCTTTAAGAAATACCTCATTGGTTGAAAACTTAACTTTTTATGACATCAGTGCTTCAGATTTTGTTCATACTAGCAAAAAACTGGAAAAGCTGGATCATCACCACCTTGAGACTTTAAATTGTATCCTGGAAAGGTTATTAAACTAAACCTTGTGCTTCGATTTGTGAAGTCAGAGAGAGTTCGTGGGCGTTGTTGAAGTGGTTGATGAGGTCAGTAAACATTTTATTGGGAGCAAACGAGCTTCTTCAACGCATTTCTCCATCAGTTCACACAGCTGACAGAATACATGTATTTAAAGGATTGTTTGACATTTTCAGGAAATCACAAACTGCTCACTGATTTTTGGGAAGGGACTCAAGGTCTTGAAGCTTTTTGCTGACCTCTGAAAAACTACTTCAGTCTTTTCCAGGCCATGTCTTAGAAATGGAACACGAGTTCACGACTTACTGCTGTCAGTCTCAGGAATGATCCAGTCATTGAAAGCCTCAACTAAGCTGTGAAGTCAGGGCTTGAATGGAGTTGACATGATAAATCCATGATTTGACTGGCGTTTGCTGTGACTCAGTGATACCATGCTGCATGCAAGCCGCTGAAATCACATTCAAACACAAACCTGACTGCAGTGTCTCTAAAATGAAAATTTGTTCATGAGAAACAGAGTTCTGTTTTCAAGCGCTGTGATAAATACAAGCTTAGAGTTAAGATTTTTGGTCTGGATATGATTTGTATTTCAGTAGTTTAGGTATAAAACATTAAAAACAAGCACATGTGATTTGGAAATGGTTCAAATCTATGAATATTAAAATCTGGTATTTGTGCACACTGAGCTTTCAAGAGTCTTGATTAGTTTGGCTGCAAATTCAGTGCAAGAGGCTGCATCCTCATCCAAGATACTCAGTGTTTCACCGAGTGCTGGGCAAGAGGCAATTCTGGCTGGAACATTTCTGGCTGTAATCAAATGTTTGTTGGAATATGGGAGATTTATACATGGACCAGTAAATCAGTGTCTAAGGTGAATTTTGTCATCTCTGTGAAATTGGAATGAAAAATAGTTTGTTTTTTTCCAGTTGCTAATTCATGCTTTTCAGAGTGAAATATTGTGTATTATAAAATCTTGTTTTTTCACAAATTGCTGTTGCTTGCAGCAGGATATCAGAACAACCAGAGCAGTATTTCATTTTCTCCTGTCAAAACATAAATGAAGCCAGTATTGCAAATTGAAAAGTGTCCTTTCTGTGGCAATAGTCCTGTGCCAGTTAATACCAAAGAACATGTTGTCAGTGCCAAAATGCTCAATATGGGTCAGTGTTGGAATGATTTATTTTACTTTATTTGGACATTTCTTACAAAGAAATAAACCTTTTACCAAAACATTCAGTAACTGGGAGGAAATTAGACTGTCTATTACCTTACAAACAGATTTTTTTTTTTAGTTGGCTGATTTTCTTTAGTTTCTGAAGACATTAATGTGAATGACAAATTGCTAACTACATCTGTGGTAAACTTCAAAGTGAGGTTCAAGTTTTGCTTGCAGGAGCATTTCAGCATGTTTCCATGGGCTAAAATTTATCATGGGTTATAAGGAGGATGCGTTTGCATGGTAATGTTCCCTGATGGGTGTAGGTGAATGAGCTAAATCTGAATAAACTGTTGAAGGTATCTAGGGTAGGGTAGTCCCGCGAGTGTGTGGCACGCACACAGAGAATCAGCTCTTTTCATCAGTATTTGGGCTGTAATGTGACTATAGTGGGGTCTGAAGGAGCCCTTGCTATCTCGGCATGAACTACCCACGGGCATAGTGCAGAGATACCACGGCCGGAAGGACCATGCAGGGACATCTCAGCTGGCTTCACACGTCCGATCTCCAGACAGAACACGGGGGAATGCGGTGCTGCATTTAGCAAAGGGAACTTGCACACTTTGGTGTGCTGCAAAATAATGCTTTCCTTCTGTAATAATTGGGAAAGTTAGTGTTTGTTATTACTTAGGTGTATGACACACTGGAATTAATACTCATTTTTTTATCCTAGGCAATTTGAGAAACATGTGGAGGCTGAATTGGTAGGATCCCAGGTTTGGCCACTTCTGTCAGCCAGAAAGTGGTTATCTAGTAAAGAATATTTATTGATGTGTTGAACTTAAATATTTATGGTCAGACTGGTATCATATCCATGAAATTAATTAATACTTTATATTTCCTTGACCAGTCAAGGGAGACAGAAGGAGATGGATGTCAAGAGGATTAGCGGGCAGGGATTCTGCCAGTACAGCCCACGCCCTGTGGTGCAGTACTGAACCCCACTGTCAGCATCCCTGCAGCAGCTGGACCACTGACTTGGAATTCCGGAAGAGTTTAAATTAGAAACTCTGTTTCCCTTCTCCTCCAACTAATAGCCTCAAAACCTTAAGTTCTAAACTGGCGTTTGCCAGGATTATGGGAGGCTAATAGGTTTGGAAGGTGTATATTTGACAGTTTCTTGTGCTAGTAATATTTATTTCTTTTAATAACTGAGTTTAACTTTTCCAGTACATGTAAGATACATTCGCAAAAGACTTTCTCTCTTGCCTCTGGGATATAATCTTTTCATCCCAACTGGCTACCAGCTGCAAGCTGCAATGATCTAAACATTCCTGCAAATTGTTGGTATTAATCTCTGTGTCCTGCTTTTAACTGTGCCCTCCTTGGAGGCAAAAATTTTAAGAATAAAAAAGAAAAAAGCAAAAGCAATCAACATTCCTCTGCCATTTTGGCTTGATGAGAGAAATTCCTCCTGAGCTCTCAAATCCACAGCACCTGAAAGGGCAGAGCTCTTAAAATACCGTAATAGGTAGGGAAAATGGGACATTGGAAATACAAAAGGAGATGAAAAAGGCAATCACTTAAATTAATGATGGAGAAGGAGGGGAAGGGAAGGGTCCTGTCAACTTTCCACTCCTCCCTGGTCAGTGGGTACAGCTCTCCATTTCTAGGCACATGAATGCCCTCACTGCTCTGTGGGTCTGCCCCACACGCTGCGGTGGGACAGGAGGTCATGTTAATCTACCCCTACTTATTGTGAAAGATATCAAAACTTGTACATGCAGGTAGGATTATTTTGGCAGCTGCTGCAAGGCAGCCGGTGGTGGCTCTGAGCGCAGCAGCTGGGGGGTCTTACGTGGTGATTTCTGGGTGAGGAGGAGGGAACTACTGAAAATACGACATTTAGAACTTGCTGACTTTGTACCAATGCATGTTTGACTGCATATTGAAAACTCATCTGCTTCCTCCCACATGTAATTCCTTCCTTGAAGTGAGCATTCTTTCCCCTCGTTTACATTTTCCAATTAACGCTTTGAATAGCTCCCAATATTATGAGTATAATCGCCGTTTTCCGTGCATGACACGTAGGTTGGTGTATGAATGTGGCAGTTTGCTTTTCTGTGTTTCACTTGCATCATATCCTTACCAGCATTAAGCTGGTGATTCAAATTTGGTGTATTTAATGAGGATTAGAGGGAAAAAAAGTATCTGGTGTAGAGCAGCAGACATGGACAATACCACCTTCTCCTACAGTGGGATGGGTTTGCATTTGCACTGGGACCTTTCCAGTCCCACTGGAACTTGATGTCCATGTTTATTTCTCAAACCCCACTCTTCCATACTGCGACTGGTTCAGTAAAGGGAGTAAAAAACGCATGCAAACAGGAAAACAAGTGCAAGCCCATCTGGAGTAATGACAGCCTCAGTGCTCCGCTTCTAGTGGGGCGATGGCACCGGGGGTGGGGGCTCTGCTGCTGCCCCCCCAGTGTGGATGGACAGTGGCTGGGATGTTCTGCATCCCTCCACCGTTCACAGCGTCCCTTTACAGTTGTTTAGAAGGAGATCTGAACGTCTGCACCTCAAAACTCCTCCACAGCACACCCAAATGCATCTCTTAAATAAATTAACACTGACCTCTGAAGAGGCCTCAGTTAAAGAAAACGACGCACAAGGGGACCGGTGTTCTGTTGGCACTTGCAACCTTTTCGTTGTGTCAGAACTCAATTTGTGCTTCGATGTGAGTCACATGTGAACCCAAACGATGCAAAATACTTGGCATTTCCATTAGGCTGAACAGCAGAAACCCCTTTCTTTTTTGTGTAGCTGGTATCTAGCTTCATACTAAGAGTATCTTAATCATACAACTTGGGAAGATGTAACTGAGTTTTTTAGCGTGTTGCTCTTTTCTTAGATTTTGATTCCTTTTACAGCAGAACAAAAATATAAATATTGAAAAGAAAGGCTTAATTATTGACAATCTGTAAGTTAAGTGAGTCTCATGATTTCTAGCTTTGACACAAATGGATGGATAACGTTTTTGCTTTGTCTTCTACATTGTGCTGTTCTACTTCCTTGTTTGCCTTCAAATACACATCCCAAGGTCTCCTAGGAGCTGCATTTCCCAAGACACCAGCGTACTGAAAGAAGTGGTCAGGTTTAGACTAATATTTACAAAACAGTCCCAACTCTCACTGAAACCAATGGAGTGAGGATTTCAGTATTGTCTTTCTGGGCTTTTTCAAGGAAATAAGTTCATCTCTGCATGTCCCTCTTTATCTGTCATGAGACTGGGTGTTAGCTAACATAGGGTGTTCTTCTTTGGCTTTTTGTTTGTGATTATACAGATTATTGCTTACCAACCCTATGGGAAGTCTGTGGATTGGTGGGCGTACGGAGTGCTGCTCTACGAGATGTTAGCTGGCCAGGTAAGAGTTGCCTTCCCATGCTTGCTGTGACCTCCTACTGCCTTTCCAGGATGATCTGTTTCAAGGCTCCTTAATGGGTTAGACCCTCAGGGGACAAGCTTGGGGCCTTTCATACTGATATTATCTCCTTGTACTCTTGACTGACTCCACTGAGAATGTATTTAGGCTTTAAGCTCTTTATGTTGCGCTCACATAATCAAGCACTGCCTTTGAATATGGCTTCTTTGTGCTGTAATAATGTTATAAATAGCCGTCTTCAAAATTGAATGGGAGACACTTGAGCAGGAAAGTGCATGTCAGATGGAAGAAACATCATTTGGTAGTTTGGAACCACAGGGAGACATAATAGGAGTGTGTGTATGCTCTGCTTTGCAGTTAAGTCACAAGAATATGGGTTTTGTATTGTATGTCCTAGGGGTAAAGTATGGGTCTCGCCACTTGAAATATGCTCAGTTACAGACCCCTTATTCTGCACAGTTAATGATATGCTGCTCTCTGAGTCACTCAAGTAGAAAAGCAACACTGTACTGCAGTAAATGGCAGATAACTACCAACTTTAAGAAATTCTATTAGTTTTGAGTTAGAAAAGATTCATGCAATTGGCACTCCATCAGTGTTAGTTAAAGGTATGCTTTTCCTAAGCTTAAAACATACATTTTTAACAAATGCCTTTAATAGTTTCCCTACTAAATTCCAGTTGACATTTTAAAAGTTTTTGAAGTGTAGCAATTGCAGTTGTTAACATTTACAGTCTGCATTGCAAATATTAGGCATCGGAATGCTTTTGAGAAAAGGAGATTTTCCATTAGCTGAGCCTTCCACAGCGCCTGTATCCTGGAGACTTACCCACCGGCACTTTCCTCATCACCTATATTTAAAACCAAAATGCAGCTCTTTCTTGTATACAGCCTTCCCTTCACAGAAGCAGAGTCCACAGCCATGTCTTACAAAACAAACCGGAGTTCAACCGAAGTGCAGTGAGGAGTGGGTAGACCTTAGCACAACATAACTGACTGTTACAGTCTCTGAGCTTCACCCTTTAACGTGTTTTGGCTGGCTGGTGCACAGCAGCTTTAAAACCTGTTTACGGATGATCACAAATATAATCCTGCACGTATTTCATTAACCTGGCTGCCATGCTGGGGGTGGACATGAACATTTCTCCTTAATTTCTACCTGAGACTGATGAACACTGAACTTCTGGGTCAGAAGATCCGAAGCTGCACAAGGCTGGAAGTTTGGGTTGTATTCGTGGGCAGGGGCCACTGCTGTGTTCTGTCTCTGGGCACCTGTCATTGATGGGGGCACGTTACTGGGCTGGATGCATCTCTGACCTGACACAGTGTGGCCGTAGTATTTGATGGCATTTCAGAAAAAGTGAAGACTTAAACCAAAACCTACAAGTAACTTACCTGTGATTTATTTTCAACAGCCTCCTTTTGATGGAGAAGATGAAGATGAACTTTTCCAGTCCATAATGGAGCATAATGTTTCCTACCCAAAATCACTGTCCAAAGAAGCTGTCTCCATCTGCAAGGGGGTGAGATAGATGCTTCTTTAAGTTGCTTTTTGGCAGTCTTTGTGAATAACTGAATTTCTCTGGCTTTGATATGGCACTGTAGTATTTTTAAGTGCCACTTCCGTCAGGCTGTGCTAAGCTATACTGTCATGAAGTGCTCATCGCTCAGTGTCACTGACAAGTATGCAGCTCTTCCCCCTGTGCCTGCTTGTTTTACGGCAAGAACAAATGTCAGAATCAGTAGCTGCCAAATCCAAAGCAGAATTTATAAACAGGCTGATGGTGTGGAAGGTCTCCATCACCTTGCCTCTCAAGCCTTGGCAGTACAATCCCAGTGTGGAAGGTGAGGGGATATCTCAGCTTATGTGGATACCAGATACGCCACCGAGCATGCTGCGGTCCTCAGCCCAGCGTGTCTAATGACAGCAGCACAGCAAAACAGTTAACAAGGGTCATTTTGATATGTAGATAAAGATGAGCTTATGTCACAGTCTTTAGCGTAAATGCAAGGGAACTGTGGGGAAATCCTGACCCAGTTGTAACCACTGTGGCCTAAAATTTATCTTAGATTTTAAGTTTAGTTTATTTTATTGAGGAAAATCATAGATTTGACTTCAGGGGATTAGCTCAGGCAAAAAGAATTCATTTGACTTTCCCTTGACTCTGTGAGATTCCCTAGAGTACTGTCAGTCTGCAGCTCTTCCAAACCACCATCTGTAAAGCATTGCTTTGATGTCTGTCTTCCACTGATAAGATATCACTGCACTTAGTGTCAGAAAATTTGGTATTTACTTTCTTCCTTCCCTTTGCAACCATTTATGAAGTATTGTACATGAGCTGGAGATTAATCCCATAATGAAAAATCATCAAGAAAAAGAAAAGCTGTATAGAATAACAAGGTAAAAGGAGAGACCACTCTAATTTTAGTGTCTATCCCAGTGTACATGTGCTGGCCAACAAAACCAAAACATGGTATGTTTTGTAAAGTACATGCAGGTTGATGCCTTGTCATGAAAATCATATATTCAGACAACCCAGTATGAACTTGATCTAATTACCATGTTTTCAGCTCTCTTGCTTGCTGCTATCGTGCTAGGTGCTTATGCAAAGGGAGGTCAGAAAGCTAATATTGCATTGCACCACTAGGTTTAAGGTCAAGTCTCTGTGATAATAATACGTTCATCGTCTGTGTTAAACTAACAAATTAATTCCACATTTCAGTGAGCATTATACCTGAGCTAAGAAGTCGGTATGAGAAGGCTTCTGAGCCTTGCAGTCAGCAGTAGCTCAGCAATCCCAGGGCTGCACCGTTGGGCAAGACGAACATACCCTGAACATGAACTGAATTGTCTGCTTGACATCCATTCCACTGGTTCAGAGTTTGTTGGGTTTGGTAAATGCAGTAATTTCAGAACAGAATTAAAACTGCTAGAATCATTATTCACATTTTCTTATGTCACCTACTGTTAAAGCAAGGGCTTTAGAAAAGGTAACAGAAATGAGAACGTTGCTGTTAAGCATGGAGCAGGATGTGATTCCTAGCCCAGCGCACAGCCATCTTCCCAAAATCTGCTTAGAGTCGCTTTTATTTTAGGTTTGAAATTGGAATCTGATCAACTCAACATTTGGAGGGAGACTAAAGCGGTACAGCTGAGGTTTTAAAAAGATGTGTTGAGGTATCACTCCCCGCAGTATATTAATCATGTATCATTTGTAAAAGAGCTTTAAAAAGTCCCCACAATACTGGAACTGGGAGTTGAAGGCTACATCGCTTGATATCAGTTGGAAAGTTTTTGAGGAGCTTGTTACTTAGAGAGCATATTACTGTTTCCAAGCAGGCAATGCTGGTGGGTTTTGATATTTTTTTTCCTTGAGTCTGCTTAATCTATGCAACTGGGTATAGTATTGACCAAGATGTCATTGAGGATGCAGGAGAGGAAACACGGGTTAGATACGGTCAGCTGGGTGCCAAGGAATTGTAGGCTCTGTAATGAGATGTCTTGAACAAGCTCAGAAAAATGAAATGGGGGCAGGGGGTGTATTTCATACAGCTTTAGTCTATTGGAATTTATTAAGTTTAATTGATTGTTGAGACAGGGAAGAAGCTGTTTTGGAGATTTATAAGACTGAACTGAAAGACCAAAGGCAAAATTCAGGAACTAATAGGATGGCAGTGTGTGCCGGGCACTGCCTGCTCACCCACACCTCCAGCAGCAACCTCAGCCGAGTGGAAGGAGTTCTCAGGTGCGACCCTTGGATTTGCTTCTGAAGTGCTGTCTCCAGGGAACAAACAACAACAAAAAAAACCCTAATCCTCAAAAAATGAATTTTAGCTTTTCAAAACAATTTTATTCGGAACTTGCATCTTCAGGAGCAGAGCAAGAGCCTCACAAAGTCTGTCTCACTTTCATTCCAGTGTCAAATGTCATCATTTGGTGTTTTCTTCCTAATAGCTAATGACTAAACATCCTGCAAAACGCCTTGGCTGTGGGCTCGAAGGTGAAAGAGACGTCAGGGAACATGCTTTCTTCAGGAGAATTGACTGGGAAAAACTGGAAAATAGGGAGATTCAGCCACCTTTCAAGCCTAAAGTGGTGAGTGAGATGCCAAGTACTTCCCTCGCTCAGTGTGTCTGCAGTCGTGCTTTCCCATGGGGGGAGATTAATGCTGGCTTGATGGTGCTGCAAATCTGGGACGTTTCTAAAATCAGGCAGTTTGATTATGGCAGACCAGTCTGTAGATCTGCTAATGTTTTGGCACGCTGTAGCATAGCCCAGTGTTCTTTCTTCCTTGTGAAAAAGTCTCTCGGTGGTTTGAGTCTGGACTGGAAGGTCACGCACTGCATGAAAAGTTGAAAACAGGGAAAATTGGCATATTAACATCAGAGGCTTGAGACCTGTAATAAATGCAGTTCCTGTGTGTGTCCTGTGAACAATACCTAAAGCCAGTGGCGACTGTCTTCTGTGAACAATACCTAAAGCCAGTGGTTAAAGGTATCTGAATTACTGGGGGGAATTTCCTCCACAGTGGGCTACACAGCTCGGGGGGGTTGTACACCCCATCCTAGTGTGATGCCTGCTGAGTTTGCAAGGATTTATTTTTAACATTTGCTACCGGTTTGCACACAGGTATCTGTAGGAATATTTCAGAAATCCGACCAAGGGAAAGATGTCCTTACCACGAGAACTGTTTGCATAATAGAATTTGAAGAGCTGCATTTGTTGATACAGAATCTCTTTCCGCTTGTGCTGTGTTTTATTGACAGGCAAAGAAGAGTATTTGCACACAAGAATACGAGCTTTCAGGAACAGCTGTAGATTGTTATGTCCTAACATTGAGTCTTTCTTCTCTCACACGTTTTTTGTTCCGTTTGAGATGCGTAGCTGGCTGTAGCACGGCAGGTGTGGGATCTTTGGTCTGTACACTGATTTATTTACCGATTCAGACACGCTTGTGTGGTATCACAGACTAATGAACAGAGGGAGGACACTGCCCCACGGCAGAATATATTCCTCTCTTTTTGCATACAGAGGACTTCTTCACACCACCAGAGGAGAGCTGCATGCTGAGATGAGTGTTTTGTGCCAGGGGAAATACCCCTTTCATAGGGTGTGGGCTTTTCATGCAGAGAAGGGCGTAAATAAGTAAAGGACATGCGTGGTGCTGCCAACCCTGCCCAGCCAGACCCCAGGGCTCTCTGTCCAACGGAAGCCGTGCCTCTTTAAAGCACATTTTATGGAAGATTTTCATTACTTGCTTCGTGAGTCAAATTTAAAGCTGATTGTAAAGCAAATCTACCTTCACAACTCTTTTACTAGCTTAGACTCTCCCTGAAGTTAAAAGTAGCATCAGCATGAAGGTACTAAAAGCTTCAAGAATAATCTGGTTCCATCATAGCATGTTTTGTGGCAGATCCTGGCTCCTGTTTAGAGCAGCTCTGCTCTATCTCCGTGGTTATCGTGACCTGTTTGGTTTATACAGGCTACTATTAAAGTACACCAAAGCATATTCACACGGAGCCTAACTTTCCCAGGCGAAAATAATTTAAAATCCGAGTCTGATATTTACATATCCTATGTATAACTCATATATTGTGATTGCTTATTCTATTTATGTGGATTCTAGAAAGAAAATAACACATAACCCTTAATCTGTTTGAAGATGTGGACATATGTATGGGCTTTGTTTGGGGTGGTTTGGTTTTTTTTTCCCCAGAAACCTTTCTAGGTGCATCTTCTCTAGGAAACATGTTGCTGCAGGAATACTCCTGCTGCTTTTGCACACAGGCATAGTTCTCACTCCAACGCAGAGCGGCAGATTTTGGGTCAGCAGTTGGTCGGTATAAATAATGTGTTCCCTTCCAGACTGACATTTCACAGGCTATAGGCATGACAAGAAGGACATTTAACGTGTATTTGTAAGCTAAGCAGTTCTAGGAGTCCTGTATTTTCAGTTCTGCTTCAATACTGCATTAATGCTAACAATAGCAATTCTACTTTTTGATGTGAAGACAAGTATATAATTGAAAATGCAAATTTATTGATAAATTATTATATTTGCACCCCAAAAATACCCAAACTTCACATCAGTTATTTCTTAACCTCTATCAGTACAAGCAGTGGAGACCTAATGGAGTCAGGGACGCTGGTTGCCATGCACAGCTCATTTGAATACCTTCCCTTTGCTGAAAAAAGAAGAAAAAAAAGGCAGAGCATAATTTTGTGGAAGGGTGATGCATATCTGCAGAACACCTTTATAGCAAAAAGGCTTCCCTGTAACAGCCCTTTTATTGCAGCTCTGAGTTGGCTGTACAGCCTCTAAATAAATTTGACTGTTAATTTTTGATACGTCAACTTTGATTCCAATGATGGAGAGTTTTCCCCTTGTCAAAGTTCCACTCTGTCCGTTCTCGTTCTCCAGAGATTCTGTACCAAAATGCATTGGCCTCGGTGGGCACCGGGGTGTTCGGTGAGTGCAGAACCCGGGGTGAGAAAAGCAGACTGCCGTTAGCCCTTAACCCCTTGAAGTGGCCCTCTGCCTGTGTTCTGCCGAGACTGAACAAGGGTCTTTCTGTGAGCACAGCAGTCCAGTACCTGAGCATGTGTGTCTTGTCTGAAACGCAAACCAAGTCGTGCCTGAGGCAGCGGAAGTTCGTTGCAGCTCAGGTCGGACGGCGTGTCCCAGGCCAGTACATGCCAGGTCCTCTGCCACGGGATTGGAAACCATGACCGAGCTGTTTTCAAGGAAGACAAACACTTCACCTTCCAATTCCCTTAACAGACCCCTCTTCAGCTGGTTTCCCCTATAAACGCACAGCTTTATTAATGTTACATTAGTGCAGAAAAATCACTGTTCAATATGGGTCTGTTGTACAAGCCGTCTTCTGCCCTCTCCAAGTTATCCTCTGAGCCTGAAGATGGCAGCGTGATGTTGGCCTCCAAATCCGCCTGCAGATGTGTTCCCTAACAAGTGTACAGCAGTGCAGCGAGCCTGTAGGGTCGGATGGAGAGGACAGGGTCAGGGACGACGAGAAGAACCGTTCAGTGCTCTGTCGTACAACCACGCTTTGATCGAAGCTCTGTTGCCGTCGGTAGCGTTGGGATAAGCAGATTTACCAGTTTCCTTTAGACCTCTCCACAATATTCAATGCCTGGTTCTCCCCAGATAGGCATTTTTTTCTTGCATCCAAGCTAATATTGGACCGGTTCCTCCTTCATCCTTTTTAACTTGCCTCTAATCAAGCTTTGCTGCCTTTCGAGTGTGTTCTGCAATACTCCCAACTGTCCTTTCGCAAGCCTGGTTTCTGCTGGTCTCTGTTCCGAGTGAGCTGTGTTCAGCGCGTAGCTGTCTGTAACCTCCTTCGCGGCTGGGCTCCACGAGGGGACGTGTCTCTTCTCTCAGACAAAAGAAGGATGAAACCTGCGATAGCGCGTTTTGCACCGGGGACCTGTTCCCAGGGAGCGCTCCCCACCCCAGCTCCCTCCTGCGGTCCCCAGGCTGGAGCTCTGCTGTCCTTCATGACTTTACGACAGTTGATCGGCTGTACAGTGAAGAATCGAAGCATACAAATGAATTACATGAAGCTTTCTGGAGATCCTGACAGAAATGGAGACTAACACGAAAATTTAATTTTGCATTGTAAAGGTTTTAAGAAGAATGAAATGACTTGACAGATAAAGCATCTCTTGCCAATACACATCTGTAAAAATACTTTCTTTTCCTTCTTGTCCCAGTAATTCTGAATATTTAAGCCTCTTTACCATGTCACCTGATGCCAATGGATGGAAACTTTTGGTTTTCGTCAAAATTCATCTATTGAAACTTCCCTATCTGCCTGAGATTTTTTGTTAAAATGTCTGAAAGGGAAATGAGGGAGAGTCTTGCATGCATCCTGAAAAACCTGCTGTATCGCACAAAAAACTGGAACTGCCAATGTATTGCTGATTTTTTCAGCCTTTTTTTCTCTTTGTTTTTTTCTTGCAGTGTGGCAAAGGTGCCGAAAACTTTGATAAATTCTTCACACGAGGACAGCCGGTGTTAACACCTCCGGATCAGCTGGTCATTGCAAACATAGACCAAACAGATTTTGAGGGGTTTTCGTATGTCAACCCCCAGTTCATCCACCCCCTTTTACAAAATGTAGCGTGAAACAGCAGAGCAGGAACAAATCCCTCAGCAGGGAACGGTCCTTAACCCTACAATTTTTAGGCTTTTGCCTTGTTGATTCCATTTGGGCCTGGAAATTGTAGGGTTAGAAAGTGTAAGATGGGGGAAAGGCCACATGTTGAGGATTTTGGCTTTGCAACAGCAATGTTGTCATAATGGGAGTTAAATTAGTACACGGTGCCCACTTGTTCTAGAGTCACCACTGACTCGTCGAAACTTACCCATTTTTTGGTACGTTCTATATTTTTGTAACTTCCCACTGTCCTTTTGCTCCCTTTTCTGCTCTGCTGTGTTAGAATGAAGCTAACACATGGTCTGAAAAAAAAAAAAACACCACCACAAATGTTTGGTCCTTCGGTGCGGATGCTGGGAGCCGGGAGCCCGCGGCCCCGAGGGACTGCCACCCCGCGCTCTTCCCGCGGACTTCGGGGAGTCAGCAGCACGAGAGACGGAAGCGGCGGCGGCACCGGGGAGGAGAGGCATTGCAAAACAATTGTGGAAAGTAGCTGTTTGGAAAATACAACAGAAACGCGTTGGGAGTGGGTGGGAGGGGGGTGAAATCGAATTAGACCCTGAGGCTTCATGAACCGATCCTGTAAGCAGCGCCGAGCTTGAGTACACTGCAGCGGTGGCCAGATCGCTAGGATCTTTGCTGAGTAGCTTGTGAGAAACTCAAGGGTGAAATTTTGTCTTTAATAATAATAATATTAATGATAA